ATTAATATTGATCTTGGTTAGCTCGCCACTTCTGTCGGCATTGTTGACTTTAGGGACATGGTTTTAATTGATTTCTCAGTTGCCCAATTTTTAACGGCTTTTAGTGTTTTAGGGTCAAGTTAACCTTTGACCCAGGCATTTCTGTTCATTGCCTCAAGTCGTCGCCTCCGCAGCTCTGAAGAACTTTCACATCACTGCGCATTAATAAAGCATTAAAACCAGAAAATGAGGAAAGGGCCTAAGACGGGTATTATTGTCCAGATTTAACGAATTGTGAAAAGGCAATTCCAATGAAAATGAAATATTTATGGCATCTCCCTTACCGTCTCCTCCCTCCATCAATTCGCTCCATATTTTATTCAACATTTTCACATTCGGCCACGTGGCGTATGAGCAATGCACACCAACATAAACACAAACATAACTAGCGTGGGCAGTCTGTGTGTTCCATGGAATGCTATGGGCTGCGATTACCAATCAACATCTAAATGCGGAGTTATGCGGGGGAGGGTTTTGTGTACAGAACATATCTCATAACAGAACATAACTAATCCAGGGGAATGTTAATCTCAAGGCAGAAGGAAAGCTAATTTAATGTTGTCGAAAATGCGTTGATATTAAGTCCTTCAGAACTTAAATGAAAACTTAATTAACTTCAGAAATACATTACTAAATATTCGTATTTTTTACAAAACTTTATGTGTGTATAAGATGGTAGTGTAGTGAAAACTGATGCACATTGCACTTTGACCACGTGGCGTATACGTGATATGGGCTCTATGAAGACTATATCACGTATACGCCATCAGTTTTTCATTTTATGATGCACTTTTTTTTTTTTTCCTCTACTCCCAATTTGAACATTTTACCAAATGAGTTTGGGAATTTCTCCCATTTTCACTTCGATTTCGAAACTCTTGGTTTTCTGGTCGAATTTTTAATTGGTGAGATAAACTGAAAAGTTCAGCGAAATGGCAGCTGGGGAAATGTGTGTGAATGAAAGGCCGCAATTTGCTGGCATTTGCTATCCCGTTAACATTGTTTTAGTTACCTTTTTTTTTTTTCATTTTCTCGAGCCCTTCTATATTTCTCTCTTCAACCCCGAAACCCTTCTCCATTTCAGGCTTACCCGCAGCAAAAGCCGATTAGCAAAATTATCAAACATAATTTGACATTTTTCCCAAAACTCCCACGCAAAGCGAGCAAAAAAAAAAAAACCAAAGAAACAAGAACCAAAAGAAGAGAAAGCTAAGTGAAAACCCCAGATTTTTCCTACTTGTGGGGGAGACATTTAAAGAAATTAATAAAGACATTTGTCTCAGTTTTTGCCGCCTAATTTATTTATGTTTTTTTTTTTTTTTTGGCCACCAAAAAGCCGCTTTCCTATGTATGTATTTTTGTGTGCGTGGTCCACTTGGCAGTTCATTCTGTTTGCTATCTGCTCTGTGAATTTTAGTTTTATAAGGATATGGCTGTGGGTGTATTAGTTAGTTAGTTTGACGAAAAGAATGATTCGAATTTGTACATTCTAATAATAATTAAATGTCATTTTTTAACTTAAAAATATTAAATATTTTTTCAAAATAAACCCTTAAATGCTATACTCAATATATATACCTAGATATATCGTTCAAAAACAATCTTTTTCGAATTGAAAAATATTATCTTAACAAATTGTATTTGTATTATTTTTTCCTCCATATGTTAGTTGCTTTAGCAGAGTATCTTTAGGTCCTTGAGTGGTTATTTAGCACTCTCGGCTATTTGCTGGCAGAGCCTAAGTAGCTTTTACATACAAACGAACATATACATATATACTGAGCCAAACAAAAAAAAGGGGGTTTTTGGGGGAGCAAGGAATGGTCTGTCTGGATGGCCAGCAGCATTCAGTTATTGGCTGTTGATGTAGCCTAATGTGCTTGTATTTACTTAAACGCACAAACGACTTTCTCGCAGGACTTCTACTTGTCCTTATTGTCCTGCATTAGCGCCCAGAATTCTCCCTTTCGCTGACGGCTGATGAGCAGCAAATTGAATTTTATTGACTTGATTCGCGTTGGCTGACCATTCCTGCTTGGCTCCTGTGTGTGAGAGTGTATACTCAATAAATTGATTTCTGATTATCATTGCATAATAAAATGACTAAATCCGTGAGGAGCAAAAGCAAAAAAAAAAATGAAAAGGAATGGCAAAAGAAAAGCGCAAAGGAAAAGCGTAGAGCGCGCGTAGACAGAAGTTTTAATGAAGCGTATTAAAATTTAATTAAATAACAATTTGCACAAATGTAAATAAACATGGCGCTGCTTATGTAAAGCAGCCCAGGACCAAGCAGCTCCTGCAGGACACTCTCCTGGCAAATGGCAACCGGCGAGCTACCGAGCTACCGAGCTGGCAACGCCCAGTGCGGCGAACTTTGGTCATTAAATTAAGTGCACGAGACGCCGTCGTCGATGGCGCGACTGAAGATGGCGGAAAATGGATGGGGAAAAGCGTAAAATCAAGGAGGCGCGGGGGCGCTTTGAAATGGTTCTGGGATGTGGATGCCAACAGGTAGACTGCGATGGAAGTTTTCTATATAACTCTTGTATTTTTGAATCAATCATAATAATTAATAATACATTTAAGAAAATAAAATCTAATTTGTTTTATTTAATGCACTTTCTTGATTTAAAAAACGACCCAATTTTCAAAATTTAACATTGTTTTGAAAAACTCTTTTTGCGGTCTCTTGAAAACAAGCCTAGCAACATCATGTAGCCCTTATCCTTCTATCCAGTATTTAATATAATTTTTAATTTCGCAAACATTTTGTCATATCCCCAATACACAGGCAGCTTCAAAGAAGTGCCACGCCTCCAGCACGCCTCGTTGTAACTGTTCCACCATCGGATCGCATCATTCATACGCAACGATGAACGCGACGTTTTTTTTTTCACGCGGCCTGTCTGTTCTCTCTGCTCGTGTGTTTTTTGGTTTTTTTTTGAGGCGTGTAGGCTTGTGTACATGTGTAGGCGTGGCAGGTAAGGTCTTAATTGAATTCACTTTTTTTCCCAGTTGCGTTGGCCAGGCAACACCCCTTCTCCTCAACAAAGTTTCACTCACCTGCGACCGTAGTAAAAAAAAAATCTAAAAAAAAAAGAACTGAGCCTCAACACACACATGCGGAATATTTGTTGTTAAATAAGAAAATTTAATAAATTTCATTTAATTTTCTTGGCTTACGCAATGTGTTCTCGCCATTTGCGTTCTGCCTGCAATTTTTTGATACAATTTTTCATTCATTTATTTTTTTTTGAGTATTAAGCACTTCAAGTGGAACCCAAAAGCGGCTTAAAATAAAGCGTTTTTATTTATATTACACAATTTTATTCCATCGACTTGGTATCTATTCAAGGGCAATGTTCAGATTGCTTAGCGATTGTAGAATCAGTAAAGAATTTCAAAATCTAAATTAAAAACAAGTAATAAATATTTCTTAAAAAATATATACCAAAAAATGTATCAACTTTTAAACCTTTCTAGTAATTAAAGTAAAAATTTGCTCTTGGCCTTGGGCGTTTTTCTTGGAGTTTTTCTTTTCGCTGTGAAAAGCTCATAAAAACGAAGAAACCAGCAAATTTTAAGCGGCTTGAGGTCAACTTTTTTATGGTTCACCTTTTGCTGTCACAGATTTTTTCCCCCTACAAGCGAATTTCTTATCAACTGTTTGCACTTTGTTCGGGACTTGTCACCCTCTTAAAAACGCAAATAAAAGTTACTTAATTTCGATAGGCTTTTACATTAAACACACAAAGAAATACTAAATTTATAGCATACCGAAAAATCGCCTACAATTTGGGAATATCCAGTAAAAAAACGAAATATTATTCTCACGCAGATTGCATACATAACCAAAAATGTTTGTATGTGCCGATTAATGACAGATTTTTTGTGGGAAACTTTTACAATGCCTTGCCTCAAATCAACGGAGGGGTTGATAAAAGTACTAAAATATTGAAAAATTTTGTAAAATCATAATCTTGATTTTTGGCCTAAAAAAATAATAACATTTTCTATAAAAAATATGACTGCTCACAGTGAGAGTATTTTGCCTATAACTTAGCCAATAATGGAATGTAATACCTGGTTAAGTTGGTTTTTTTAATTCTAGCTTTTTTCTCCTCAAGACGTCTACACAACTAAGCCAATAATAGTCTAAATATAGCATGAAATACCTCGTCGAGTTTGAAAATCAATTTCCAATAAAACTTTATTCAATCCTACACAACATTTTGCCCTAGCAAAGCCAAAAATGGTTCAAATGAGTAATGTAATACCTCGTAGGGCTCGTAACTTAATGGCCATCATTCTGTTAAAAATCGGTTTCCTGATATTTCAGCCCTCAAAACAGAGCTCGCAGCAATAAATCAGAACAATAACGCAAAAAGTAAGTATAGGGGTGTTAAGATTCGGTCGTAAGCTGCATAAAACAGCCATTCTTTAGCCATGCGGCTTGTTTTGATAAAGTTAGAGCTAAGAGACGGAAAGAAAGCCGGGCTATCTGCTGTCAACCGACGTATACGTGATTTTGGGCACAAAAAATCAGTTTTTTGTCCATAGCACACCCAAAAATGGTCCAAATGAGGAATGTAATACCTCGTAGGGCTCGTAACTTAATGGCCATGATTCCCAATTGGTTTGCATTCAAATCTGGGAAACTTCATTTTGGGCCCATTTTTGAAAATTTTGATGATGGTACCCCTTATCAAAAATGCGAAATTTGGGCCAAAATTGACTTTCCCAAAATCGAAAAACGAGTGATAGAGGTGGTAAGTGTTGGTCGTTAGCAGCACAAAACAGTCGTTCTTTTGGCTGTGCGTCTTGTTTTGACCGAGCTAGAGCTAAAAACCCGAACGTAGTATTGCAAATTTCTATTAAAAATCGGTTTCCTGCTTATTTAGCTATTAAAGCAGCCTTCGCAACTACAAATCAGAACAATAACGCAAAAAGTAAGTATAGGGGTGGTAAGTTTTGGTAGTAAGCTGCACAAAACAGTCACTGTTTCAAAGGTGTGTCTTGTTTTGACAAAGTTAGAACTAAGAAACGGCTGGCTGTGGGTCTATCTGTATTTTAAGCTACTACAACTGAGACTTCGAATTACTTAACAACCAATAACTAACCCATTAAGGTAATTCTAGTTTTTAATACAGTCAAATGCATTATATTTGCAGAGATTAAGAGTATATTGATTATTGATTTAACCTCTAATTAATTACATCGAATCATGGTTATGCTTGCTGTGGACCGTCATCAAATACAGCTTCTTCAGCATTTCATCCGCATGAGCCGTGATCATAGCAAATACTTCGATCATTCCCGTCTGATTAATTCGAGCTACCACTCCGGGCAAATCCTTGTGCACGAAGTAGACAAAGGGCATCATAGTGTCATAGCACTGAGTAATAACGTATAACATTCTAAAAGTTGGTAAAGAAATTCGGTAAGGATAATAGGTACAAGAGACGAGACTTGAATACATCATGCCGTGGGAGGCATCAGCAGTGAAGTTCTTGTTTCCTGTAATCTCGCCAGCCAAATAGCTTTGGGTTTTGGCCAGCATGGTCTCATTAAAGCCATTGATGATCATCAATGTGCCATCGGACCATACCCAGCCAAAAGTTAAGGCCGTATACTGTATTTGAATCACATCTACAGCGCTATTGTAAACTGCATATTGGATGGTATTTGAAGTTTTTTTCAAATCTAAGTTTTTTTTCAAGTTCAAAGTGCAAAACGGCTTGCATACTTTAAACTCGATGTCCAAGTTTACGACCACGAATTTAGGTTTGGCGGGACGCCTTATGATTGGAATCTTCTGGCGAATCCAATCCATTTTACTCAATACTGGTGGAAGCTCCAAGGTTCTCATTAACAGCTCATTGGTAGAGCATGGGTTCTCGGCATGGTTATCGCCGTTCTTCTTTATGTTTTCATCAGCGACTTCCTTTGAGTCCTCGAGGCGAACTGTGAATGAACTCTTCCATCCGCTTGCAGTGGAAAGTGTAATGGTAGTTTCGCCTGGACTTTTGGGTATCATTAGTTGCTTGTCGATCTCGTTCGCAAAATCAATGGCATCTTGATCTATAGGTGCTAGTGGACCGTTAACCCTTTCCTTTTTGATACCGGATGAGGATGGTCCTGGATCAGTCACTTGTTCGTCTTTCTTTATGGTTTCAGAAATTGGTTGTTTCTTTTCAATATCTTTGTCTGGTTTTAGCATAACGCCTGAAGGTTTCTTCAACTGCGACGACTTTGAAGGTAAACATTTCTTGGGATCCTTTACGGGCATGCCAACAGGACTCTGGGGCTTCAATATCTTGAACAGAAGATCCTTGTTTTTATCATAGTCCATAGCTAAGCCCAATAGTATATCAAAATCTTCCATGTCTTTCATGGGTTCTCGAAGCCCTTCAGATTCGATCCAATCGTTCATGGCCTGCTCTTCTTCAGGCCCAATAGTCCGCGTGTAATAATTTTCACGATTACGGTTAATATTGCCTTCCTCCTGGCGAATATACTTCCGTCCGTACTTTTCCCAGTGGAGCATTGCATCAATTTCGAAATTTAAATCTTTCTCAAAACCTTGCAAGGGGGATTTGGTGGGCTTTGGAGTTTTCACACGATTTGGAGTTTTAAAAGTGCTGCAGTCTTCTCCAAATATACAACCCAAAGGCCACTCTGCTTCTGACGGTGGCACCGACCAATTCTTCATGGCCTTATAATTCTCAAGAATTTCCGGCGACGACGGCTGATTGTTGGGCGAATTTGGTCGCATATCCCACATGTCATTCAAGGGGTCTGTATTTAGTATCGGTAAATCGACTTGGACCGATTCTTTGAGCATTGCTTTGGGAACTTTCGGTAGGTGTCTTGTCTTTGGCTTTGCTCCAAGGCAACGCGGCATGACAGTCTTAGATGAACCTGGCCCCAAGTCAATGTCGGGGTTTCCGTTCACTGGCTCTGCGTTTTTTTCTTGTTTTTTTATAGGCCTAAGAGAGGCCAAAACAAGAAGATATAACTTTAATTTTTACAAGTTATTGATAGTACCCACCTGGTTGATGAATTACTAACTGAATTCCCCGAAGAAGTATCAGTAGCTTCTTTCTTTCCGTCGTTGCCCTTCTTAGGCTTTGTGCCGCTCTTGCTTGTTGGCGAATTTTTCACAAAATTTTCCATATTGAGTTTTGAAAAGTAAAAAGTTTAAGTTAAAGTTTTTTTTTTTTTATGCCGGGCGTAGGTCCTGGTCCTGTTCGACTCGTTTTTGGATTAGGTTTAATTTTCGCTTGACAAGTTATTAGCTGTCATTTATTATTTGATAGATGTCAAATTTACCCAGGCATACAAAAAAAGCCTTTAGAGTTGCAACCCATTTAAATACAACCCTGATAACATAAATCGAATCAATAATCAAACCCCTTTACCCAACAAAAAATCATCCAAATTACCATTTTTTTAAACATATGTTAAAGAAGATTTGGATGTTGGAAGCTAATTTTGTAAGATTTTGTAAGAATTTTGGAAAAATTCTCAATTTAAGTTATTCAAAATCCAAGAAAGAAGTAGACCATATAGATATCCTGTAAATAGTGATCCTGTAATGTTAATCCCGATTAGCTGACACTGGCAATCAGTCAGCGGTATATCAAGTGACAGAGGACAGGACTCAAAGGATTCTAGGCTAATGACTGTGTTTCGTGTTCATTAGACGGCCTAAGCCAAAAAGATAACGACCACGTTAACTAAGGTGACCAACGGAAAAATGTTGAAGGCGGGTAAAAGCAGCGGGTAAAACCGCAACGGCGGTTGGAAATAAACGAACTTTCAACTTGTCGCCATGCCAAGGAGTTGGGCCCAAAATCCCTTTGGGTAATGGCTGGTAATTATCCTTAATTAGTTGTAAAATATTGAAGTGAAAGTATTTCGGTTTTTTTGCCATTAGCAAATAAAACTTTTCCCGACCCTTTTCCGTAATAATGATAATCATAATCATAATAATAGCATCAAGTTTGGTTACAAAGTAAAAATGCGATTACATCTGCGCCTCAACATTCCATGATGAATTATCCGTGTGTTTCCTTTGTAATTTCCATAATGTCATTTTTCACAAGTCGAAAATTAATTACGCATACAAAGTATAGTAAATAGTTAATATTGCCATTTCAGCCTTAATGAGTTTCGTTGAAAATTTGCCAAATTTCATTCTTAAAATGATTTACATTCCGTTCAAATGCAGTTGGAAAAAAACATTAATTTTTAGGCTATCATCAGCTTTTTGTGTATTTTATTTCTAGATTAACCAACTTCTTGATGTTTTTTTTATGGCGGAAAAGCGTTGACCAGAACAAAGTAGTTCCGCTGTTGTTTTTTTTTTTTTTGTTTGGAGAGTTTCCCGAAGCTCTCTCATAAATTTAATTAACGATAATATGCACGCCCGCTAAAGCTAACGGGCGATGTTTTCTTTTTGGTAACAGCACACGCAGGTGGATGAGTTTTTTTTTTGGGGTGGTTCTTAGGGGGGTTCCAGGTGGTTGGGTAGATGGGTGCGGTCGGGCCGAGTCAACCTGCTTAAGTGACATGCAAAAACAAGAAGCCTGAAGGGAAAGTGGTGCAAAAAGAAAGCGTGGCATGCTTTTAAGCGAGAGTCACGCGTCTAGTGGTTTGTATTTCTACCCCACTATATGCACTAAGAAAAATAGTAAGACCAAAAAAAGCAAAAACGTAATATTTACAGAAGAGATTATAGATGTGGAAAACTGTTTAAACCTTATAATATATTTCCAAACATAAAGCTAAAGATAGTCAATTTTTCCCAGTGTCATACCATCCTCACATACTCTCTCTGTGTGCGTCACTTGTCCAGCTGAACTTTTAGCCCAGCAGCTGCTTTTCCCGCCAACATGCTAAAAGGGTGGGAAAAGTGGGGAAAGACTTGGGTGGTACAGACAGCTGGCAGGCAGGCAGACGACACTTTTCATCGTCATCATCGTCATCAACATCTCAACCAGCTTTTCTTTCTTTTACATTTTCCCTTTCGTTTTTCTGTTTTTTTGTTGTTGTTATTGTTGTTGTTGTTGTTGCTGCTGCTGCCTGAGCGAGGGCTGCTAATTAAAATAGTATGCAGGCAGCATCAGCTTAAGTGCAGTTTTTGCCAGGGTAAATGTTTTTCCTTCTGGCCAAAATGGGCCGCCGCAAGTGAACCGCGTGACAGGAAAAGCCAAAAGAGAGAAAAGTGTTAAACGTTTTGTAAAAACGTTAAAGCCCATGGCCTGCCTAACTGGATTTTATTTGTACAATTAAGTTGATTAAATAAAATTAAAATTCTTGTAAATAAATTAAGGAATTATATATATTTATATATATATATATATATATTTTATTTTTTAAATAAATTATCTGGCTTGAAATGAGTTTACCTCAGGTGGTGTCTGTGGTTATTTCCCAGCTCTGACTGTTTTCCTCTTTATTTTCCCTGAGAAGCTTGTGACTTTCCTTAATTGCATTTTCCTGTAGTTCAGTTTTATCTTGTGTTTTTCATGCCTGTCACACTTCTCTCTATTGTTTATTTATATTTTTTTTTTTGTGGTCTCGGCAACTAATGCCAACTTAATTTTCCAATTTACACGATAGCAAACAATGGGAAAAGGAAAACACTTTGCAAAAGGGAAAGTGAACATTTTTGGAATAATTTGTTAAATGAAAATGAGAGAAAGACGAGTCTGCCGATGGGAAATGCTAATTTATTTTAATTTAAACCAGAGGACTTTCTTATTTTGTTATCCGATCTTGAATTTTCATTTTTTTTTTTTTTTTTTTTTTTCAAACAAGTTCACGTGACGACGATTTTCTTTTGCATTTTTATTACGTCTTTGCCAAAAAGTCGGCAACTGTTTTCTTAGCTGGAGCTAAAGTTTTCCCTTTGCATTTCCCGGATTTCCCTCTTGGCTGCGATTTAAGCTGAATGTGCACGCAACTTAGCTTAGCTGCGACAAATATATTGTTCCGAGTGCATTACATTTCCACCAAGACCCCCGGAAAATTGCTAGCACTTAAATAAATTTATGAAAATATGCAATGTGCGAAGCGTGTTGCAGGCAATTCTCGGTTTTTCCCCCCCAACTCCCCAAAATGAAAATGCTAATGCCGAAATAATGGGGTGGAGAGAAATCAGTTAAAGTGCCGGATTAGTTGGTCAGTTGGCTCTGCAGTAGTATGAATTTCAATTTAAACTGCAGTGAAAGTTGTGTTGGGTTTTCCCAAAAATTGTAGGATATTTATCACACTACTTAGCCTCAAATTAGAGGCTTAAATGTTGCCACTTTGTTGCTAATTAATTTGTTTTCTTAGTACCTGGGAAAGATTTTGAGAAATATGTGTTTAAAAATATTGACATTGGAAAGGATTTTCGTTGCAATATTTGTAAAAATATTTTTTGTCATAAAAATTCTTTAATAAATTCTTTAATAAATTCTTATTTAAAAAAGCCAAAGTTAACTTAAACTTCTCTTATGACGCAATTCACATGCGTTGACTATTTTGGCAAAGGAAAATCGCTATTTTTCTGCAGCTTTTCCAGCCAATTGACTTGTTTGTATGAACTTTGAACGTGTAAATTTTCCATTGTCATGTGTCAATGGCCCGCCGTCAGTGTTACCAAACACCGTTTCGTCCCCCTTCTCCTCCTCCTCCATTTTCCACCCCATTTTCTCTTTCAACCGCCCCCCTTCCACCTCTTTTTTTTTTTTTTTTTTTTTTTTGAAAAGTCTTTGCTCTCTGCTGGAGCCTGAGTCAAATCACTTGCAATTTGACTAGACGATGTCGCGACAATTTTTGTTCTTCCAACGCTTTGTTTTTATTTGCGATTTTCTTTTTGTTTTCCTTCTCTGTGTTTTTCTTTTTTTTTTGTTTTTGGTGACAAATTTCCACTGCTGCGTGCGGGTCACTTGGCTGGATTTATTTTAAACTTTTCTTGGTTTTTCTCGGTGATCCCCCCGTAAACTGAAGCCGACACCTGACAGTTTTCTTATTTATTTATTTCGCTGAAAAATTACGTATAAAAAGTGAAGAAGGTTTTTCCGCCGGGGGACCTTGTGCTTAGGTTAAGCCAACTTTATCAACTTAATTTGTATACAAATTCATATATTTCATAATTTTTTTTTTCGCTATTTTCGTTTTTTTCTTTTTTTTTTGCTTTCTTTTCCTTGGCCCTGGTGTTTTCCATTTTTCACTGTTATTATGGCCTGCGGAAAGTTTGTTACGCTGCTTTCTGGTTCTTTGCTTGCGCTTTTGGAAAAATTGTGTTTGAAACTTTTGTGAAAAGTAGCAAATGCTTTTTGTCAGTGACGTTGGCATTTTTCCTCTTCAAAAGGTAGGCAGTTGGGGGGGGGCGTGGCATAGGCACGTGCCATAAGCCATTTGTCAACAAGAAAAACTGATTGGATTCCATGGCTAAGTGCGTGGTTTTTGGCCTTCTAGTTATAGACGAGAAAAACGCTTAAAAGCAAAATGTAATCACACTTGGTTAACGCCACTGTTGAGCCAATTTGCCCGTAAGTATAGCACGGCAAACGAAAATCAAAATGAAAATGAAGCTACCGAAAGCTACGGATAGACAGTTGGTTAGGAAAACAAAAGAAAAGCAAAGAAAGAGGGTATGAGAGAGCCTGTTAAAAGGAAAGCATTTCGATAATAATTGCATAGCCGCAAGAATTGTTTAGAGAAACTTTGCCAATTAATGTGGATAACGCCTAGGGTCAATCGAATCATTTACCAAAAAGTAGCACCAAAAAATACCCCCAAAATATGCTTAGACTTAAAAATACCTTTTTATAGGCATATAGTTAATAATATTAATTTATAAATTATAAAAGTTCATGGTAAAAGCAATACACACAGACATGAAATGGCAGCCAATTATGCTTAAGTTATAGAATATTAAAGATAAATTATCTCAGTATATGGTTAAAAATATAACATCCTATATTTATTTAGAAAATATTCTATAAAAAAAAAAGATATTATGTAGGAAACTTTTCTTTTCACTGTTCATCAAACCCACACACTTTGAGTCGTTCTCGCTTTGGCAAACATTGCCAAAAATAATTTTGTTTGGATTTGGCAGCTGTGCGAAAAGTTCATTTTAGGTCTTTGCCTTTGTTTTTTGTTCTTCCTCGAAGCAAGGTTCTTGCTTTAATTAGCGTTTCCTTCTTGGGCGGCGCAACAACATGGAGATTAAAGGAGATGCGGAAGGAAAAGTATCTTAGATTAGTTTTCTGCTATATTCTTTACTATGAAAAATTCTAGAAAACTTTCCTCCTAGCCAAACTTGCACTCAATAATGATGGAAAATACATCGATAAGAGCATTTAAGAAAACCAAGTTCATATGGTTAGTTACCTCTTAATCGCCATGAAGTAAGCACACACACATGGATTAACTGGAGTAGAATTTATCGATTCGAAATGCCTTTTAATGAACCACTCGGTGCCTCAAATGGAAATGCAAGCCGCATACACACATTAGCCAGAAGTTGGACTTTACTGCGTTTTGGGTCACCGAGTGGTGTACGGGGCGGCGTATGCATGATGTAACAGACGTCGGCTATGGGGTCCTTTTGCAGCATTTGAATGCTGTTTCCTTTGCTTTTTTTTTTTTTTTTGCCCCTCCCATTTGGGAATATGGAGAGTGAAGAGGGTACGCACTTTCCCCGAACGGTAAACAAGTGAAAAACATTTCCATTTAGTTCACATACACACAGGCACATATGCACACACACACACACATATGTAGATGCACAGACGAGAAAACAGGACCGTGTGGTATTTGCCATGTTTTTAATTCACTTGAAGGCACTTAAGGCAGATCACTGCCAAGCGTAAATGTGCCAAGTGCGTTGGGTGGGGGTCAAACAAATTGTACAAGTTTAAATAACTATAAAGCCCCTCTATCTCCGCCACCCACAATCCCCTTTTCAGCTTATTCAAATTCATAATAATTCCGATATAGCAAAAGAAACAAGCTGCGACAGCGCCAGACAACATATAAATGGAAGCCAGGAGGCCAAGGGTCAGCATCGACTCGAGGGATACTGTTCAAAAAAAAAAAAAGGGTCAAAATATTTCTATCTATGGCAAACATGTCAGAAAAAGGCGTTTTTTATTGTAGTTTTTTAGAAAAGTTCAAGATAAATAACCCTTTATCGGTTATAAACATGAATGTGAACATAAAATAAAATAGGAATTTATTTTTTTTAGCTTTAAGAAATTGCTGGAACTTAATATTTTCGTAAAACTTAAACCAAATTTTAACAAGTTTTCAATTTCTTTTATATTTACAGGTAAACTATTCCCCCCGATCTATTGACAAAATACACATTTTCAAGGCAAGTTACTTATACAAATTTTTATAAATAAGAGACTGCCATATATGATTGCTGATACCCTGCATTTTCGACATGAATATAAAACAATGTATCATTCGGAAAATGCGTGTGTGTAAAC